GTGGGTGGGTAGGGAGGGGAGGGGAGGGGAGGGGGGTTGTTTTGCTTCTTTCTTTGTTTCCTTTTCTTATCTACGTTTTTTTTTTTTTTTTTGTCTTCGTCTTTCCTTTTGGTTTCTTCGGTCTCGTCTTTTTAGTTTGTTTGTTTGTTTGTTTTCTCTCTCTCTCCTTTCTCAGTCACTTCTTTTATCTTCTCATTCCTCTATCTTTCCTCTTTCTCCATCTTCCCTTTTCTCCCTTCTCTGCCGTATTATAGCCTACCCTCTCCTTCGTCTTTCTTTCTCCTCCTCCTCCTTCTTTCTCCCCTTCTCCACCGATCTCTCACTCTCACCTTCTTTCCCACTTCCCGCTCCTTCCATTTTCCTCTTTCTCCCTCTCTCTTTTCTACTCTCTCCTTTCTCCTTCTTCCTCTTTCCTCCTCTTTCCCGCTCTCCTCCTTTTTCCTTCTTCCTTATTTCCCTTCCTTCTTCCCTCTTTTCTTCTCTCTTCACCTCACACTGTCCTTTCCTCTCCCTCTTCCTCTTTTTTCCCTTTCTGTCTTTCTTTCTCTCCTTTGCTTGGCTATCCTCTTTCCCTCTCACTCTATATTCCTCCTTTCCTCTTATTCCTTCTCCTTCTCCTTCCTCTCTCCTCTCTCCCCCTACCCGTCTCCCTCTCCTTCTCTTTCCACCTCCCTTCCTCCCTCTCTCTCTATCCTTCCTTCTCCCTCACCCTTACAATCCCCCTCTCCCTTCCCTCCTTCTTCCCTTCTCCCCTTCCCTCCCTCTCCCTTTCCCTCGCCCCTTCCCTCCCCCTTTCCCTCTTCCCTTCTCCCCATCCCTCCCCCTCTCCATCTCCTCTTCCCTCCCCTTCTCGCCCCTCTCCGTCACCCCTTCCCTCCCCCTCTCCCTCTTCCCTTCTCCCTCCCCTTCTCTCCCCCACTCCCTCACCCCTTCCCTTCTCCCCTCTCCCTCCCTCTCACTCCCTCCCCCTCTCTCCCCCCCTCCCCCTCACCCCCACCCCTCCCAGCCAAACAATCCCCGAGACAAGGTGTCGCCGCCCCAGACAGACACGGCGGCGACTCGGACGATATCGGGTCTTCGTTTCCTCTCCGTTTTCGACCTCCTCGCGTGACTCTTCGTCGATATGCGATTGTCTTTCGTGGCGTCTGGAAGTATGGCGAGGAGCCTGGTCTTCGCCTTTTTAGGAACGTGGGTTTGTTTTGTTTGTTTGTTTGGTTGGTTGGTTGATTAGTTGTTGTTTGTTGTTGTTGTTGTTGGTGGTGGTGTCGTGTGTGTTTGTGTGTGTTTGTGTGTGTGTGTGTGTGTGTGTGTGTGTGTGTGTGTGTGTGTGTGTGTGTGTGTGTGTGTGTGTGTGTGTGTGTGTGTGTGTGTGTGTGTGTGTGTGTGTGTGTGTGTGTACGCGCGCGTGTGTATATACAAAGAAAAAACACACTTATACACACACACACACGTTCGCATCCTATACCAGCGCAAGAGTGCCAGCCATGTCAACCGGGACTGTGCTCGGGGACACTAGAAGTTCTCCGTCAACAGCGCTACAAAGTTAATATTGGAAGGTATACACACACACACACACACACACACACACACACACACACACACACACACACACACACACACACACACACACGCACGCACGCACACACACACACACACACACACACACACGCACGCACGCACACACACACACAGAAACTGTCTTCCTTCTGGCGTGGGATTGCGTTTTTGGGGACGAGTCAGTCACACGCACGGCGAGGTTGGGGGCGCGGGGAGAGTGAGTGAGTGAGGGAGGGAGGGAGGGGGAGAGAGAGAGAGAAGGAGAGAGAGAGAGAGAAGGAGAGAGAGAGAGAAGGAGAGAGAGAGAGGAGAGAGAGAGAAGGAGAGAGAGAGAGAAGGAGAGAGAGAGAGAGAGAGAGAGAGAGAGAGAGAGAGAGAGAGAGAGAGAGAGAGAGAGAGAGAGAGAGAGAGAGAGAGAGAGAGAGAGAGAGGGAGAGAGAGGGAGAGAGAGGGAGAGAGAGGGAGAGAGAGGGAGAGAGAGGGAGAGAGAGGGAGAGAGAGCGAGAGTGCGAGTGAGTGAGTGAGTGAGTGAGTGAGTGAGTGAGTGAGTGAGTGAGTGAGTGAGTGTGAGTGTGTGCGTGTGCGTGCGTGCGTGCGTGTGTGTGTGTGTGTGTGTGTGTGTGTGTGTGTGTGTGTGTGTGTGTGTGTGTGTGTGTGTGTGTGTGTGTGCGTGCGTGCGTGCGTGCGTGCATGCGTGTGTGTGTGTGTACGTGCGTACGTGTGTATGTGTCTATTGGTCTGTATGTGTATATGAGTATATATGTATATGCGTACGTATGTACACATGTATATATATAAATATACATATGCATACATACATACATACATACATACATACATACACACACACACACACACACACACACACACACACACAAACACACACACACACACACACACACACACACACACACACACACACGGACACACATATATATACGAC